CCACATGGTGGCTCACAACCATCTGTAATGAGATCTGGCACCCTCTTCTGGTGTGCAGGCAGAACACTGTATACATACATACATACATCTTTTTTTTTTTTTTTAAGAGTTGCTTAAGAGTGGTCATGTTGTCTCTTCACAGCAACAGAAACCCTAAGTAAGATACTTGCCTTGAACTCCAGTGCTTGTGATCTCTCTGCATCAGCCTCCTGAGCAGCTGGGATGACGGATCTGAGCCTCCAGAAGACACTTGATGACTCAACACAGCCCTTCCTCTGTACTCCAACAGTTCTACTGTTTTTGTGACCCTTGCTGAGACCAGGGACCTGCCAGGAGACCCCAGGACCACACTCATCTGCATGGCCAGCCCTCCCCCACCTAGGGAAGGAGGAAGAGCCCCAAGGGTAGAGGAGTCCTGCACGTTTGGAATGAATTTGACTTTGTTTCCACACCCCTTCCCCTTCTTTCTCTTCTTCAGGTAACCCCACCACCCCAGGCCTGAAGATCAGTGGGCATTTACTTTTGCTGAGCTCAGAGATACTCCTCCCTCTCCACTTCTGTGACTCTTACCTGTCTGGCCAGACAAGCAAGGTCCAGCGGGGGAGCAGGCAAGTGACACACTCAGGCCCAGGGCCATCGGCTCCCGAGCTGGTTCTTCTGACCCCTGGGCAGCTTAATCCTTCTGTCCATTCTTGGCTGTATAGGGAACAGAGAGAAGGCTTCCACATCCCTCAGTGGCTTCCAAAGGCAACGATGCGACACTATCATCCTGTGAGCACCGTCTGCCACTTCTCACCTGCACAGTAAGATAAATGCCTCCTATTTGTACAACCCCAGCAGACCTGGGGCTTCATGAATTATTGTGTCTAGCCCTCCCGAGTCCTCCTCCGCTCTGGGCCTAACTCAGGCCCCCGGTCTGCTATCTGGACTCTTCAGTCTGGTGTTCAAGGCCTCTGCCCTGCTAGCCACGCTCCTTCCTCCCCTGTGCCCTAGAACACCGCCCCATCCCAGACCTACCTACTCACACACTGTAGCCTGGTGCTCCGCTGGGCAAGTCTTCGCCCAGCCTGAGGCTGCCTGACAGGTCTGAGCCTCGTGAGCTCCCAGCGTGTTTGGGAGATGCTGAAAGGGGAGCCGCAGAGGTCTTGTTCAGGCAAAGGTGATGAAGGCTGCTCTTCAAGCCCTCGCCACTCCTGTCCCCAAAGAAGGCTCCCTGTCATTGCCAGCCGCAGCTTCTCTGTTCTCGGGCCTCCAGCAATCCGGCAACCATAAGAAAACCCAGGGGAAAGCCAGGTGAGGTGGCACACACTGATAATCCCAGCACCGGGTGATGGGCAGGTGGATTGCCATGAATTCAGGACAACCTGGACTATGTAGCCAGCTGTGCGGGGAGACCAGCCAGAGATCAGGGAGAAACAGGCAGGTGGGCGGGGCCTGGAGCCCCTTGCCCCGGTCATTCTTTACCACCTTATGATTCTGTCTGTTAAAACAGGACTCCTGGTGCTGACAACGGGCTGGAAACTGCTGAGTGAAGCTAACCCTCCCACTCCAGCAAGGAATCCGAGCCGTGAAATGACCTGAGGTCATGGCAGGAGTCAATACCAGCCTTGAACCTAGCCTCAAGAACCAAGGTGCCAGCTACTTGATCCTTTCAGATCTGGGCATCCTACCCCCTGGCAGGAGCCAGTGCTAGAGACCCAGAATCAACTCTTACAATTCCTTCCCCGCCGGCACTCAGGGCCCAGCATGCAAGTGCTGGGAAAACTCAGGGCACTGGCTATCCTTAGGTGTGTCTCCCTACCTCTCAGCCCATTTCCCACAAAGCACAGGACTGTATTCTTTGCAAAGGATAGGACCTGACCCACAGCTAGTGCTCAGCAAATGGGAACATTCACCCTCCCCACCCTTCCTCTCAATCAATATCTGCTCCATTGATGGATGATGGGGACAGTGATGGATTACAGCAGCTCGGAGAGTTGGCCTGTTCTTATACAGCCATGGAAACTCAGAGCCAGGGAGAAACATGGGGCAGGGGATGAGTAAAGAGAGCTGGGAAGAGGGGCGGGGTTGCCAAGGAGCTGGGGCGGTGGTGAGAAAGTTGCTGAGGATGGAGTGAAGGGGATAGAGGGGGAAGGCAGAGGATGGGGTGTGGGAGACCACAGCACTCGTTACCCCATCCCCCTCCATCAGGGAGGCCAGACCTGGGATCGAGAGACAGCTGTCTGCTCAGAAAAGTGTCTTAGTCACTAAAGGCTGCCTGGGGAAAGTCCATTCTCTGTCATGTCCTGGGAATCCGGATGGGCACAGGAAGGCCACCAAGTGACTCTCAGAGTGGCCACCTGTCCTCTCTGGACTCTCTCTTCTGCCTCCTACACACACACACACACACACACACACACACACACACACACACCACACCACACCATACCACACCAGCTCAACTTTGCCAGGCCCTCCTATTACCACCCCCCACACCTCAGGAAAAACTACCCCCCACCTCAGTACATATGACCCTCCATGCAGAGGTATGCCTACCTGCAGAGATGGCCTCTGGGACCCTGGAAGGTGCTTCTGAGCAGCCTCTTACCTCCCCCCAGCCAGCGATGGGTAATCTACAGCATGAGTTGGAAAAGCTAAGGAGACCCTCTCTCTGAAGAGAGCAGTTTACTCCAGGAGGAAAAGGAAGCTCAGCCGTCCCCCACATGCGAAGAGAGGCATGGGTTCATAGGTGATGCTGAACTGGAGGATCGGATTTCCCGGAACAGACCCAATTTTAGATGTTCCGAGTGCTGATAGGGACAACCTGAATTCAAGTTCCATTTCATCCAAGATCAAAACCTCAAAAGACTCCCAGCGACCACTTTCCATTGTGCAGTTTGAATCCCAGACTTGAGTCCCACCCCTGGGCCCCTGATGGAGGACTGCCAGTTACAGTCAGGAGAGGCAATGCCATATATGGGAAGGGGGATATACTGGTTTCAGCTTATAGGGAGAGGATGGCTCCATCTAGCTCTGGCACGGCATCCATAGTGGAGCCCTGAGATCTAGAAACCTCCAGTCGTCAGTAGGTCAGACCATGACCTATGCACGAGCGCCTGGCCCCGTGCACTTGGAGCACCAGCCGCAGTGGGAGAGATCCAGGTCAGACCTTAGGATGCACCCCAGCCGGGCAGGAGGGGAAAGGGCCACTAGGGGTTGGGGGTACGGCTGGCTGCCAAGCCTAGCTTGGGGATCTCAGATCCTGCGCGCCCTCCCGGCCCACAGCCCTCCCTCCCGCCCTCCCCTACTGACGCTCAGCAGATCAATGCTGCCTTTGCTGACAGTTGAGAATCGAGCTTGCAGCCCGCCCCCTCCCCCGCCCCTCCGGCTAGCTGTGTCCCCCGAGATCCTCCCCGAGGGGGGAAGAGTTTGCTGCGGAAGCGTTTCACCCTGGGGCAGGGCCTGCGGAGAGAGCGGCTGGTTTGGCCACTGCTTTAGGCTGGGGAAGAGGGAAGGAGGGCCAGCAAACCCGAATCACCACCTAGCACAGGGCGAAGGGAAGGGGCCAGCCAGCCCACACCTGGGGATGGCGGTCAGGCACCGAGAACTTTCTGCCGGGGAGGGTTGCTCCTAGAGAAAGTACGAATAGGATACTATGGGCTTTTGGGAGGGCTCTGTCCAGTCCTCCTAACATTTGCTCCGTGCTTACTTCTATACTTCCTATCTGCCCTAAACAAGGTTCCCTGGATAAATTGGAGAGAGGGGTGGGGTGGGGGTGGAGATTTCCACGGAGGCGGGGACGAGCTGGGAAGACGAGGTCAGGTCTGTGTTCGGGGGAGCGCCCCCTCTGCTCAGGGTGGTCAGCTGGGGTCTCCTCCATCATCACCAAGAAGGGAAGCTTCGAGGAGAGACTCCTCTGGGCCCAGCTGTGAGCTACACCGCCCCACGTTTCTCAGTAGCTGTAGAGCACCAGACCCTTCAGGTAGCGGCGGGAGGAGCAAGCAGCAGCCGCTGTCCCAACCTCACTCAGCGAACTTTAAACACCCTGCACAACCCGATGGGCACACCTCTCGCTTACACCACCCGTCGTGCAGCACTGCCCGGCTCTGCATACCCATCTTCCCATCCATCCATCCATCCATCCATCCATCCATCCATCCATCCATCCATCCATCCATCCATCCGTCCACCCACTCACAGTGAACCCACACAGAACACACCGTAGCCTGCCAGCGTGCACAAGTAGGCACTTCGCTGGATACACACACCTTCCCTGTACAGTATGAGTAGTGTCCCTCGCGCAACCGCGGCCACAACTCCACACTCCACGCCCCACTTTCCACAACCACACACGAGGCGTCCCAATCTCCCTCCCGAGGGCCGGCCGGCTACCAGGGACACCACTAGTACACGCCCGGCCTCGAGGGCCCTCTCGCTGCCCGCGCCACGCGCTCGGGGCTAGCACACACCGACTGGCCGGACCGTGCGCCCTGCCCCGCCGCGTCGGGCGCGGGTCCCCCTCCCCGCGCTCGCCTCTCTCGCTCCCTCCCGATTTGGGAAGGCGGCCGCGGGGCGGGCGGGGGAGGGGCGGGGCGGGGCGGGGGAGGGTGACATGTGAGCGGCGCGCCGGCGGCAGGTGGAAAGGCGAGCGGCATGGAGCGCGTAATAAGAGAGTTGGAGTCGGAAAGAGCCGCCCCAGTCGCCGGGGAAGCGGGCGGTCAGTACGGGCTCCCGCGGC